GCTAATACTAATTATTTATTTAACCCACGTTAACCCCCCCCCCCCCCCCTGAAGAAGAAGCGCAGGGGTTCTCCATGCAGTCTGAGTGACGATGCCAGTGACGATAGCGAAGAATTGGAAACGACGCATCCATCGTCTCCGAAAAAAAGCGCAGGTAACTGTTTAATGAACCGTAATATAAAGTCAGCACTAACGATTAAAGCTTTTATTTACTTTGGTAGACTCTCCCAACACTTGCACCCGTTTCAAGTATCGTTGGCATAACATTCACGACGTGGGCAGAATTCTTCTCGTTTTGGGATAAGTTCGGGCGGGAGTTCTTGTCATATATCAAACCAGAGACTGCCAGGTGACTACGCGCTTTAACAGTACGAGGGCAAATCAACCTGAGAGCCAGGTTGCTCGTGCAACTATTGGTGGTTCTCTAAGTAGATCAACCTGGGCCATTAAAGTAACATGTGAGGTTAGTCTTCTTATTTTTGTGTATTTCATTTTTTATTGATGTTGTGGATGAACATGCTGAATTCATACGAGTGACTTTGTTGTTTTGTACATTTAGAATCGGTGCCACAATCACGTTAACACTGGGGTGCTGTACACAGCACTGAAGTGCTGTCAATGTTTGACGCATTCGGTCAAACCAACACTTCGAACGGAGCTGAACAAGCTGTAGCAACATGTGGGCAAACTACGGATATCGCCGCTGCTTCTCGGGTGGTAATACTTCCACCTATCGAGTGGAAGATGGGTGGAATAATTACTGGGCAAAAAGACTAGTATTGACCGGTGCGTCCGTGTCACGGTGCAGCACTAACTGTGTGTTCTACGACGTTTTGCAATTGCGGTGGGTCTGTTCTATATATGTCTGCCTGTCGCAGATTCGCTCCCGGCTGCCTTGCGCGGATTAAGCAAAGCTCTGAGTACATATGCATTGGAGATGGTGCAGCAACAATGGGAGAGCTATACGTTAAAAGACACACAAGGAATATGGAGTCGTGGGCAGGATGTCAGTCAGGACTTCTACACGACGGCAATGACTGAAGGTAGATCTATTCGAGTCGCGTGGCCCACCCCAGGTGAATCCAGTTATCACCGTCTATTTTTCTTGCATTGGCGACTGCCTTGCAAGCATATGTTCTCGTTCTGATGACACTACAAAAAGAGGGAGGCGTTGACGTTGCGCACCTTGCACATCGGTGGTCTATGGATGAAGCGTCTGCGACTTCGCCCTTGGTGGAATGAACGGCGCATCACTTACGGACGGTATCACGATTGACCGGGAAGCAGACAAACATGCCTTCTTCTAGTGTTGTGTTAGCTGCCAAGTCGAGGATTGCGTATGTCAAGCTGAAAAAAGGGAAAGCAGGGAAGATATTATGCTGTCGGGTTGCAAAGTACAACGTCGTCAGGGCTGAAGTGATGACGTTGGTTGACTCTCTTCACAGCCTACCGTCCCAAAATATCTATGAGATCATTGTAGATCTTCGGTCAACAATAAATAACTACAGGTCCAACTGGTAGCTGGGCCGGAATGCGCCTTCATCAGTGGTTGAATCGGAAGAAGAGTCAGATGCGATTGACATGGACGAGGTGCTTGACCGCTGGACGGCTCAGTTGTTTGAAGCTGCGCACTTTCGAAAACCGACTACGCAAGACACAGAAGAACAACATAATCGGAGCGCAGGCTCAGGTGCTTCATTAGGTCAAGGTCTTGAGGTGGATGATCTGTCTGCATGCAGTCTGCCAAATCGGTCCCAAGTCTGACTTCCAGATTTAGACTTTTGCGAGAAGTCACAGCAGGTGCTGCAGGATCAGCCAGATAGTTTTGAAGACAAGGAGGAGGAGTTAGCTCAGACACAATCTGACGGTGTGAAAGCGGATGGTGGTGTGAACTTGGAAGTTATACGACAGCCTACATCATCAGCCTCACGTTCGAAGAAAAGAAACCGGCAGCAATTGGGCAATCGCGAAGTGTGGGAGTGAATGTCCAGTGTTTTTGGATGATTTCTTGAAGTGGATCAAAACTACACCAGACATTGACAACGTAGGAACGGCGACTGCCAAGTATCCAGCAAGCTACCAGAAGCGATTCTTTCTGGCCAGGTCACCCACGGTTTTCTCCACAAACGTGCAAGTGATGTCCTCAGTGACGCAAACTTCGTCAGTCCAGTGAAGCTACTGGAGCATGTGAACAGTGGGCTTATTTCATGGACGGCACAACAAGCGCAAGTTTGAAATGTGGATCCCTCACAGGACGGCATCGTGATGTTGCCTCTGAAATAGACGGTTTCTCGATGTAAGTTTACAGACAATGCGTCAATTCCCTGGAAGAAGATAACAAATCTGTGTCCTCGCGGATGTTAGGGCCTATGTAAGCAATGTACAGCGGTCCACGAACCCGCCATCTGGTAGGCCATTAGCAACAGACTTATCATTCTGTCGCAAGGGTGCCGTTGAGACCGCTGGTGAATCAGGTAGCACCACGGGCAAGTGGCAAATCAGCAGGGGCCGAGGGGGGGGGCTACGGGAAGATGTTGCAGTTAATGGTACGCAATGGTTTTGGAGCGAAGCCCAACAAGACAGGAAAACGGAGATGGATCACGCGAAGGTCGAGATAGCCCCGTCGGTGGTGGTCGCAGGTTTATAGGCTATGCTGGAGAGTGAATCTGAGGCCCATCGGCCAGCAGCTGAGAAGAATCCGGTGATGGGGACTGCTACTACTACTGTTGCTGCAGCGTTTATAGGGCAAAGACCGAGCCAATGAATGTCGGACCAATTACACCAACGAATGGATTTGGAAGCTTGTGATATGCCTACAGCACTTCATCTCCCTGTTAAAGTGACAAATCAGCTCGCCAAAGAAACTGCAAGGCTTGTCATAGCAAAAGAGCAAGCCTTCACAGCACCTCACACATAGGTGGAGATGACATACCAACACAAGGAGCCAAAGGTGATGAAGGGGCAGCTGGCAAGCGACCTCTACACTTGCCAATCCTTGTTGGCAATAGTGTAAACCTA